TTTCTTCTCGTGACAGTTGTATATATTTTCCTTCCACTAGCTTTTACTCTATTCTTTTAAACTTGACTCACTCTAGTTCAATGGTTCCCAAACGGTTCGGCTTTTTTCGTAGGTGTGACGGAAGAATCTATCAGGTGCGGCGGAGGAAGCTATCAGGGTCGACGCAAGAGGCTAGCAGATGCGGTCGAAGAGGATGGCAGGTGCGGTAGAAGAGTCTAGCACGTGCTGCGAAAGAGGCTAGCAGATGCGGTGGATTTAGGATTTCTCTTTGCTGCGGAAGAGGCTAGCAGGTGCGACGGAAGAGGCTACCAGGTGCGACGGAACAGTATATTAAACTATGGCGGATTATATTTATATATTGGGCAGACGAGGATGGCAGGTGCGACGGAAGAGGATGGCAGGGGCGGCGGAAGAGGCTACCAAGAGGCGGTGGCAGAGAACAGCACGATCTGCGGAAGAGGCTACAGATGCGGCAGAAGAGGCTTTGCTAATTTATATTAAGAATAACAGGGTATTCACCGAAAAGGATTCATTATTGCGGTTTAGCAGATATTCAGAAAGAGATTAAAAGATGCAGTGGAAAGCATTGTCAGGTGCGGCGGAAAGGATGTATAGGTGCGAAGGAAGAGGATAGCAGGTGCGTCAGAATGACAAAAAAAAAATCAATGATTTTAGAAACAGTTTCATATCCCAAAAATAAATATAATTTAAAAATTTAAAATATTATTATGAATTATCTGTTTATATCACTGCAGTGAAGTATTATTACTTGCATTATTTACATTATTCAGACTGTTATCTTCATCTTCCTTGCCATATTCACAACGTTTCGACCGTTGTACGCTCCAGCCTTCTTCAGGTGATTGGATCTCTGAGATGAGGTATTATGATTACTTACATTATTCATATTATTCGAACTATTATCCTCATCTTCATTACCATATTCACAACGTTTCGGCCGTTGTACGCTCCAAAAATTTTTCAGGTGATTTGATTTCTAAGATTTTTTTTTTATGATTACTTGCAAAATTTAGATTATTTGTTCTGTTATCCTTATCTTCATTGCCATAATCACAACGATTCGGCCGTTGTACGCTCCAGCCTTCTTCAGGTGATTCGAATTCCGAGTCGAACCCTATTTTTCGTCCAGAATTTTGCTCCTAGTTCCACGTGCCATGCCTCTCCCGGATGTCTAAGTTGTTTCCATTTAACTCGTTTTTCACCACTGTTAAAAAATTATTGAACTCACATATTTCTTTAAATCTAGTCACTGGATCAAATAACGTATTTATCCAATGGGCCAGGTGTCCTCAAGAACACAGAAGAAGTGAACCAAAATCCTCTTATACTAGTGTTAACATAATTTTGACTCACTCCGTATTTAACTCGAAATTAGTCCTTTTTTTTTAAATGTACTTTTTATAGAACTTGGAGAAGAACAAATATTCTTTCTGAAAATGCCGCCCAGAGAGAGAGAGAGAGAGAAAAAAAAAAAGGTTGTGTACGACTGCCCCATGTATATAATACTTTATGGGAAGATAGATCTATAAAAGTCAGAGATATCACTCCTGAAAAAAAAAAAATATATATATATATGCAAACCTTCCGTTTTAAAAATAACTTTGCACACAAGATTAAGATGCCTTTGATTGTCCACAAAAGTTCACTTTCGTATTATATATTCCGATTTCTGGCCTATTTTATGTCATTACTGCCAAATAGCAAAATCCACTAGGCCCTTAATTTGAGGCTTTGAACACATTACATGACATGAAATGAAGTTATTTCTAACGAAATTAAGTTGAAATTTTCAGCAATCTTAATAGAATGAAGGAATTACACATATACATAGTTTTATACATACATACATATATATATATATATATATATATATTAATAATTACCAGACCATTGGAAAGGTTCCCTTGAATATAAATTTGTAATAAATTATTTTTTGTTTTTTTTTTTTAAAAGGGTTCTGGATAAAAGGTCGAATGTCGAAGTTAAAGTTTGATGATCAAAAATTTTATTTTAAATGTTTCTTTTTTACCCTTTATTAATTTAAAACATTTAATATAGGTATATTTATTTTATTTAAAATATGATTATCTGATTTACATTAAGCTATCCGGATATCATCCTCCTTGGATTTGTAAGGATATGGATTATTTAGATTTTATATAAATATATATATATATATATATATATATATATATATATATATATATATATATATATATAGGGTGTCCATAAAGTTCGTGTGCACTTTAAAAAATTTATAATTTTATTTGTATTTGCGATAGAAATAATCTGTAAAAATGTTAGAAAGTTTAATGTACCTAATTTTAAGTGTAGCTAAAATAACTAATGTGATTTCAGGCATTACTGTAAATCAGTTGGCAAATGTTTTCCGTGAACTGCAAAATCGTATTGCCCTTTGAATTCCTAATGACGGAAGACATGTGGAAACTTAAATAAAATTTCAATAAATCTTTAAAAAATATAGATTTACTTCTTTCTAATCCTTTTTACAAATTATTTCTATCGCAAATACAAATAAAGTTATAAATATTTTAAAGTGCACACGAACTTTATGGTTGCCTATATATATATATATATATATATATATATATATATATATATATATATATATGTATTATAAATGATAGCCTATTTTTATGGTTGGATTAGGAAAAGAGAAGGATGAAAATAAAAATAAAAAACGTATTGATTTTTTTTTTATTTTTTTGATTAAGTAGAAACAGAAAGGTGTATTTGAAATGTTTCGTTGGTCCAAAAAATTTAAACCTTTTCTCATCTATAAAATATTTATGAACAGACTGGTTGATTTTTCGAAGAACTGAGATGCTGGACAGGCATACATTTAATACACAAATGAGTAAATATATATAAAATCATTATTTTATTATTATTGTTTATTTAAATCATACATATATACAACTATGACATTATAGAGTCAATTAAAAACCTATTTGGTTATGTTAAAGAAGATCATCAGTCCACCCTGACGATCCGCGTAGGTGAACAACAATTAAAGGAGGAACTCTTTAGAAAATAATTAATTTGATCTATTTAGTGTATTGAACACTAAAAAATATTTTTGCTTTTTATAATTTGTTCATTAATTTTTTTTTCATTTTGGACTCCGAGCTTTAATTCTTAATTGTTTTCGTCTGAATAACATGTTCTTAAATTTTTTTTTTATTCCTGATTTTTCCTAGGCTATAAATTTGTTCATTAAAAAATGTTATGCCTGAATTTTTACCTATTCCATTATTAATAGACTCTCCCACACATAATAAGTATTAGTAGTAGTAGCGGTCGCTAGTTGAGCTCAGTGGAGTTGTGTGAGTCAGTCGATGTCGGACATTGAAGTATCAACCAGATAACTAGATTGCTGCGTCATTAACTCTTATTTCAAGTTCCTAACGTTTTGTACCTCGGACCTTTATAGGACCGACTTAGCGAAATACAAGCCTCCACTGTGAAATCTAATCTACAACAATTTACAAGGCAAAATATATTAAAGTTTTTTTCAAATGTATTAAGTATAATCACTTATATATATATATATATATATATATATATATATATATATATATATATATATTACGTTTGTCTATAAATGTACCTGTCCGGGTTTCAATTCTAGAAGAAACTGATGAGTCCCAGTGCTTTCTGCATTCTGTTGGAGTTTCTTCTAGACTCGATGAATTATTTTAAAATTATCTTAAATCCTCCTTAATTTCTATATTTTTGTATCCTTGCTTGAACCAGCTTCTAATATCTGGGTGGAGCGGCTAGGTGATGGTAGTCGTGGCTCTTAGGAACAGTTATATGGTTAAAGAAAAACTCGGATAAGTTCCACCACGGAATATGTGAACGAGCGGCGCAATATCGATTCTAGTTCGCTATTTCTTCGTCACCGAGCCATTGTTTTTGTACAGTTGGTATGACGTTTGCTTGTCCAAAAGAAAATAAAAGTCCGGGTTTCAATTCTCGGTAGTGGATGCGCAGAATAATGATGAGTGAAAGTAAAGGACAGGAAATGGCCATCCAGCAACTTTCTGCATTCTGTTGAGGTTTCTTTAAGACTCAATGAATTACCAATATAAATTGAGAAAAAAGTAGAAAAAATCAGGCTTGGCTGACCACATATGGAGAGAGAAGGAGATCACCGCCCCTGTGGGATCATGTTGAGATCATAGACAGGGAACACCATTGGAAAATTCGTAAACTTAAGGAATCAGCACATATGCTAGGCCCACAAAAATCTCCTGAGCCGACCAAGCATAGAAATAAATACAATATGGGAACCAGTAATAAGGAGTGCCAGAGAAAAGCAATGATAACAAAGTTGCAATATGAACTCTGGTAAAAACATGCAATGATAACAGCAAAAAATTGCAATATGAGCACTGGTAAAAATGGTTGCTGAAAACATTAGGTTTATAATACTCAGAAGTTCATACCCAGATGTCCTCAAGGACACATGGCACAGTGGATAAAGGCGTTGGTTAGATCCAGTGACAGACCCAAAGAAGGTGAGTTCAATTCCTGGTTAAGGCAGTGGAGAACTTTCAGAGGGAAAATTAGCAGGAGATAACTGATAACTGACATCCATCAAAAACATGGCAAATGGAATTAGAAAGTCTAGAAATAAAGGGTTCAGTTCGAAATTCCAACCACCTGAAGAAGGCCGGAGCGTACAACGGCCGAAACGTTGTGACAAATATGGCGACAAAGATGAGGACAATAGTCCGACTAATGTAAATACTATATATATATATATATATATATATATATATATCATATTTATTTAACTATCAATTTATTGTCACTGAATTTATTTTCAATGTTAAAAAGATGAATGAATGCGTTTCGTCACATGATTTGAGAAGTATCAATTTGATATCTGGGGCAATTTTCTTGAGGAGAAAAATTCATCCTGATTTGCAGCGAAGATCATGGCGGCTTACCAGTGTCTCATCCGTCATAAACGAAGGAAACAAGGATTTGACTCTTGTGTAGTATAAGTAACGTCATACAATTTTTTTCAAACAGGTCAACCAATCACTGAAATCGACCTCGATAAAAACAGGTTTTTTTTTTGACCAGCAAATTGCTTTCTCGGATCCTTTTATACGGCTGGAAGGGAAATTTCTAGAAATTTTTTAACTGCTGTGTCGAATGATATCGCCTCAAAAATCTGCTACATTACAGATATAGGTATTTCCTTAAAAAATCAACGATTCCATTTTGGGGGTTCAGGTAATATTTGAACACCTTAAATTTGTGGAAGGCCATAACCAAAGCCGTGTTGTACATAATAAAGTAATTTAACTTTATCGCCTAAGGACATCTGGCAAATCCTTGGAAAAGTATTTTTTTTATATATATTTTCGCCGAATACCGTATTCAAAAATATCCGATGATTCACCCCTAAATATTCTTAGTGTATTTTGTAAAGAACCCCTATTCAAAGTCTCCCCTCTTTGTTCATCGGTTTTAAGCACTTCAGGGACCTTCCTTCTCCATTTCAGTCCGATGGCTCGTAATAGGCTTACTACACACAACAGAATGAAATCTGTACACTCATCTAAAATTTTGTACGTCCCTGATAATGGAGATAAAAAACAGATTTGAAGATGTATTTAATTGTAAAGTATGTCCTATAAAGAGGGGTCACATTATAAAAGCAAGTATCTTCCTTCGTTGGTTAATTTTGTTTTACGGCATATCAACACCTTAACGGGTTATTTAATGGCGACAAGATTTTTAGGATAGGTTCGTATGAATAGAATATGTATTCTTTGTAAGAAATCAGTTTGTAGCTCAGGTTTTGGGTTTATTTTTTTTTACGGCATATCAACACCTTAATGGGTTATTTAATGCCGACAAGATTTTTAGGATAGGTTCGTATGAATAGAATATGTATTCTTTGTAAGAAATCAGTTTGTAGCTCAGGTTTTGGGTTTATTTTTTTTACGGCATATCAACACCTTAATGGGTTATTTAATGCCGACAAGATTTTTAGGATAGGTTCGTATGAATAGAATATGTATTCTTTGTAAGAAATCAGTTTGTGTATGAAGGTTTTGGGTTTCTTTTTGTCAAACGGCATATCAATTTTTTTAATGGGTCATTTAATGCCGACAAGATTTTTAGGATAGGTTCGTATGAATAGAATATGTATTCTTTGTAAGAAATCAGTTTGTAGCCCACCTTATATCATCATAGGCCATACACCCAAGGGTGCATGGCGTATGACACTTGACTTAAGATATCTTAACAGTTTGTGTCATTGACTTATTTTCCACAATGCAACTTATGAAAAAGAAATCCATTAAACCTTTTCGTAATTGCTTTAAGTACACACACACACACACACACACACACACACACACACACACACACACACAGAAACTTTATATGTTTATGCATTCTTGTGCAAATTAATTGAAACAACAGCTTTAGTTTCCTTTCTTTCTCTCACCATAGGGTCAGTTTTAGACCCACTGGAGTGACAGGGTGTAATCGATTTCTATTTTTTCTGCAGATTAGGTCATTTGTAATGGTGTGCAGTAATATGAATCTATTTTAGATAGATAGATAGATAGATAGATAGATAGATAGATAGATAGATATGAATAAACTGAGATAGACAGATACACCGTTGTGCAAATTAATTGAAAATACACATTTAGTTTCCTTTCTTTCCCCATACGGACAATTTTTGACCCACAAGAGTGACAGGGTGGAATCGATTTCTATTTTTTCCACAGATTCGGTCATTTGCAGTGGTGCGTAGTAATATGAACCTATTTTCGAGATAGATAGATAGATATGGACCGGCTGAGATAGATAGATAGATAGATAGATAGATAGATAGATCGTTGTGCAAATCAATTGAAAATATACATTTAGTTTTCGGTCAGCTTTAGATCGATTCATTTTTACCTCGGATTATATCATTTGCTGTGGTGTGTAGTGATATGGATCTATTTTAGATAGATAGATAGATAGATAGATAGATAGATAGATAGATAGATAGATAGATAGGGCTGAAATGAAGTTACTAATTCCTCGTAGTGAAACTGTGTATGTATGGAGAGGGAATATACACATATATACCCGCATGCTGACAGAAACAAACGAAAATGGAAATAGATCTAAGAACACACAGGGGTCAATAAAACATTAAAAATAAAATGCCGATAAGTAATTCATCATTTCTCTTGGGCCAACCTTGTTTTATGAGCCTTCGCGCAGAACTCTTCACTGCCAATTCAAGAAAGACATTCAGATTACTAACACAACAAAAGAGAATGTCTCATGTCGAGAATATTTAACATCTAAAAACATAAAGGAGAAAAAAATTAATTATTTTTAATATTTTTTATAATATGTGGAAATCTCCATCCTTTATCTGATGACGGTCGCGAGACCAGAAACACGTGTAGTAAAATTATGAAAAATAAAGCATAATATATTTTTAAAAATCCACGTTACAACCAAAAACCTTTGCGGTTTCTTTCTTCTTTTTAAATATACATACTCTTTCTCTTTGGAACTATTATAACCTCTTCCTTTTATATATATATATATATATATATATATATATATATATATATATATATATATAATAAATTACTTTTTAAAATCCTTTCGCTACATAAGAGTTCTCTTGTTAAAAAAAACATCAGAAAAAAACTTCAATATAATTATTAAAATTAAATTGAATTAAAGTATCAAAGATCTGTTTCATCCGCAAGCGAAATTTTTGGAATAATTCATCTTGAAAGATTACGCCTCTTTATCATTCGTAAAATTAATTACTATGGAATCGGCTGAAGCAGATTTTACGGTCCCAGTCTTCTTTCTAATATATATATATATATATATATATATATATATATATATATATATATATATATATATATACAATTATTATTAAATAACAGATTTGTGTGTGTGTGGGTGTCTGTACGTTTATATATTGGATCGGATTTATATATATACATTTTTCAACCGATTTCAACAAAACCTCAGAGGACTACGTAAAATTACCTTGCAGTGGTTCTGACATCGCCAAAAATTGGAAAAACACAATTGTTTTTGCAGAAAATCAGTTTGAAAACACGATTAAGACGCATCACGAGAATGAAAGGGGGACAACTCATATCGAGTTATACTTATTATAAAACCCAGGTTGGTTGTTTGTGTGTGTGTGTGTGTGTGTTCGTTTATATATGGGATCGAATTTCCTACATTTTTCAACCGATTTCAAGAAAACTTCATTTTTTTTTGGCAGGTAGTGTTTCTTATTGTCGTGCACACTTTTTTCTTTATTTTTACATTCAGAATGCTTTAAAAATTCCATTTACAAGACAACTGTTTATAATAAAATTCTATTCAAACGATAGACGCATAACGATTGAAAAAAATTTTTTTGTTTGAGTTTGGGTTTGACCAATTCGTAAAAAAAAGAACAAAACAAAAACAAAACTAATTAAGACATGCGTGTCCGTCAACCTTAAACAATAATCTTTGTCAATTTTATTTTTCAGTCTTTATGATGGTCGATACTTGATCTATCTCTTACTGTTACATCCCTGGGCAACGCCGGGCTTTACTGCTCGTGTATATATATATATATATAGCCTTATAGATATATCTTTCCCTGACGATCCGTTTAGGTGAAACCTAGGTATGTTTGTCTGGCTCACTAGGTGTATCTAGGTCTGCTCTACGTTGTATTGAGCGCTTTTTAGTTAGTTCTTTACTCGTATCGGGTTTTTTTTCTTTGGGCTTCAGACCTGAATCTGTGCGACCTTTTTTTTGTCGGCAGAAGTTCATGTTTGTAGCTCTTTTTTTTTTAAAAACATTTTTTTCCTCGAGATTGATTTGATTATTAGCAAAAAAAAAAATTCGATATTTTTTATAAACGAGTTTAATTATCTATAAATATATATATATATATATATATATATATATATATATATATATATATATATATATATATATATATATATGATAAATATAATAAAAAGCCTCAAACACTAATATTCCCTGGTTATTTATAATGTATTACATTGGAATCGTAATCACGATCCAATTCATCAGACCTACAAATTCAAAAAGAAATCGGAAAATATACCTCCGGGTATAAAAAATAAGAGTGGTCTATATATGATAAATATATAGTTTTAAAGTACACTATATTTATGTGTTAAAGTAATTGCAAATAAAAAAGTGGACATTGAGGTCAGCACCTAGTGGCGGCGGGCTGTTTCTTGCTTAAACGCAATCATCAGGCCTGACAATTGCTTTGAAGCATGAAGCCTGCTGTCTACTTTTGAAAGCCGTCATCAAGCTGATCTTTTAAAATTGTCATAGACGATCCATTTCTCATCGCACGTCAATATTTGATCAAGAAATGGATCCTTCGCATTCCACGGAAGCAGCTCCCAACACACTTCAAAATATCAATCTTTTTTTCATTGTGTTCATGCGGAAACCATATATCGACTTTCTTAATTTTGCCAATTTTCTTGAGATGATTCTATATTATTGAAACGCTGACAGCCATTATGTGAGCCAATCTTACTCTATGGCTCTGAAACTTGGACTCTCCCAGCAAAACAACAGGGCCGTTTAGATGGATGTTATACACGTCTTTTAAGAAGAATGCTTAATCTCTCATGGCGAAACCACCCAACTCTAGAAATGATATATGGTGACTTAAAGATATCAACCTTAGTTTGAAAAGAGACGTGTCCAGTTCGCCGGGCATTGTGCGTTGTGCCACAGATGAACTTGTGTCATCATTTGTACTCTGGAGGCACCCATCATCTGTCATTCGATCACGCAAGTTAACCTTTTCAGATAGGATAAAACGAGACACATTGATATATATATATATATATAAATTACCAACAATATATATATATATATATATATATATATAGATAAAATAAATTTATTAATGAACTTT